ATGGGTGGGTGGGTGAGTGGAAAGGTGGATGGATGGATTGTTGGAAGGACTGGGTAGATGCACGCATACATGCATGAATAGAAGTGTGGATGGATGAATGGACGGGTGAGTGGGTACCTAGATGGGAAAGTGGGCTGGTACATGGATGATCACTGGGCAAACGCCTCTCCCCATGCAGTGAAAGGCCAGGAATGTCATTATCTTTTCATTGTCTTTGCAGCTGAAGCTTGCAGTACCAGTGGGTGCTGTTTTCAGGACCCGCCATATCCAGATGCAGACTCAGGTCTGGGGCAGTTCCCCATCATGGGAGGGAGGCATTGTGCTGGGCTCTGACTGACCCATCCCTTGCAGCCCCTTCCTCAGCTCCCTGCCCAGTCAAAGACTCAGTTCAGCCACCTGGGGACTTGGGAGCCCCAACCTGACAGTTTGATCGCTTGTCCTCACCAAATTCAGATCTGTATAAGCCTTGTCTCCTCCCTCAGAGGGTCACAGGACTGGTGTCTGCATCTGGGCGAGCATTTCATCCATTCTTTTGTTCAAGAAATATTTACCAAGTGCTTACTAGGTGCAGACACAGTTCTAGACATGAAGGAATCAGCTACGAGCTGGACTGTCCTCCTGGGGTCCCAGTCTAGTACAAGAGGTGGACAACAGGCAAACAAATGCATATAGTGCGTACAGTGGTGTGCTATGACAAAACAGAGCAGCATGCGAGGGAAGGGGCTAGTTCAGGTTGGCTAGTGGTTGAGGAGATGATACTAAAGGAGAAACAGGAATGTCAAGATATGGGGAAAAAACAAAAAAGAAAGAATGAAAGAAAGAGAGAGAGAGAGCGAAAGCAAGAAAGCAAGCAAGAAAGAAAGATCTGGGGGAAGGGTGTTCCGGGCAGAGCACATGCAAAGGCCCTGAGGTAAGAGTGAGACTGGTGTGGCTGAGGACCCGTGAGGAGCCTGGTATGGCTGGAGCAGGAGGAGCAGGGATGGAAACAGGAGACAAACGAGAAGGACACAGGAAGGTGCTGGAAGCCACAGCTTGTTTAAGCTGAGGTGACACCAGATTATATAAATGTTACAAAGATTCCTCCCCAGAGTGTGTCTGTGTTGGGGAGCCCCAAACCCAGCTCTACTCTGTTCTCAAACCTCCAGGATTTTCTCCAGGCTCAGCTTCAGGCCCCAGGGACCTGACCTGCTACCGGACATTCAGCAGCGCTGGTTATGAATGCTCCTGGGAGTATGAGGGCCCCACAGCTGGGGTCAGCCATTTCCTGAGGTGCTGGTAAGGATCCGGACTCCGTGGCCCTTCTCTTAGATATGTGACCTTGGCAGGGCCTTTGACCCTTGGGCTTCAGTTTCTTATGTTGGAAGGGAGAGTTGGAGATCTGTGTTGTGGGGGTCAGTGTGGATGGGCATCCATTTGGGTGGCAGTTAGGATCCCACTAGTCCTTACTTCATCCTCATCTTCTCATTTTTTGGTCCATCTGTATATTCATTCATCCATCTATCCATTTTTTCCTTCCCTCTGTGGCAGCCTCTGTTGGGAGATTCTTGGGTCCTCCAAACCCCTTAGTCCCAGGCTGAGAGGGGGAGTAGAAGGGGCAGAAAAGGATGCTGGGATGTGATGCACATTGTCTCCTGTGGCCGCTGAGATGTTCTGGGGTCCATTAGGACCTCAGACTCAGCACCAACACCCCCCTTCCCACAGCCTCAGGCCTGGGCGCTGTTGCTACTTTGCCGCAGGCTCGGCCACCAAGCTGCAGTTCTCTGACCAGGATGGCATATCTGTTCTCCATGCTGTCACGCTCTGGGTGGAATCCCGGGCCGCCAACCGGACGGAGAAGTCCCCCAAGGTTACCCTGAAGCTCTACAGCTCAGGTCAGCACCCTGTTCTCCTCTTCCCCGTGACCCCTTCCTCACCCAGAGAAGCCTCTGGTTCCCAAGCCCAGACCTGGGGGAATTCTGGGCCCTGGCAAGGGACTTGATAATGCCAGCCATTTTCACATCCAACACTGCTGAGTGACTTGACAGAGTCTTTCATGGTCCCCTTACTGATCCCTTACTGCTGGACATTAGGTAACTTCAGGTTTCTCCTTGATGCCAAGACCCTGTTGGGTCTTTAAAATCTGTTTTTGTGAATCAACAGCATACGCTTAGCATCTCCTTGTGTGCCATGCCCAGTCACAGGGGTACGTAGGCAAGGCCAACAGAGGTCACAGTCCAGGGCTGGGACTAGGGGAGGTGAATGAGACACCCTCTTTGGCCACAAAATTTTCAGGGGGTGTCAAAAATCTCAGTTGTCAATATAAACAGTATCTTAATACCATATTTTAAAAAAATGAATATTAATACACAAAAAAAACAACCATGAGGAACAAAATATCAGAATTTTAAACAGAGGAGCCAACCTTGTATTTGTACAACCTTACTTCACTCACCTCACCCTAATCCCAGCCCTGTCCCTACCTTCATGGAGCCCAGATTCAAGGAGGGTGATGGACAAGGCATGATCATTCTCACATGATGAGATAGTGCTGGGAGGTCAGGGAGGTCTCCAGTGAAAATTGAGCCCTGAAGGAAAAAAAAGATCCAGCAGGAATAAAGGTGGAGAGGTGTATACAGGCAGCAAGCACAGCAAGTGCAAAGGCCCTGGGGTAGAATCAGGCACCGTATGATCAAGATGCAGAAAGAATGATCAATGTCTCTCCTTAGGTCAGGCTCCTTGAAGTAGGTTTAAAAAGTTAATAAGATTTCCCTAATAGTCCTCCAGAAAAATAGAATCAGTTAATTACCCTCTCATCAGCAATTTATAAAAGTGCCTGTCTCACAACAGCCTTGCCAGCAATCAGTATTAATATTTTTTTAAGTTTTATTTTTTGGGGGAAGGAATTAGGTTTATATTTATCTATTTATTTAATGGAAATACTGGGAATTGAACCTAGGACCTTATGCATGTTAAGCATGCACTCTACCACTGAGCTATACTCTCCTGCCAAGTATCAATATTTTACTGATAGCTTTACCAGCAGGATCCTGTGTATAAATCTTGACTCTTTGACTCATAGAACCCCAGGCTTAGATAGGATTTGCAGGGGTGTCCCTGATTTATGTCTCAGGGTCTTGGTGGGCTACTCTGGGCCAGGAAGATTATAGGCAGATTTTCTAGGTCTTGGTGGGCTACTCTGGGCCAGGAAGATTATAGGCAGATTTTCTAGAGTTTTGGGGACCAACAACTCACATGCATGGTGTCTTCCCCTTCCCAACCCCCATCTCTGCTTCCAGTTAAATACGACCCTCCCCCAGGAGACATCAAGGTGTCCAAGTCAGCAGGTCAGCTGCGCATGGAGTGGGAGACCCCAGCCCGCCAGGATGGTGCTGAGGTGCAGTTCCGGCACCGGACACCTGGCAGCCCGTGGAAGTTGGTGAGTTTGTTCCCCAGATCAGGGGTGTACACAAGGCAGAGTACTTTCACCCTCCAATCAGTTTCACTATCTCTATATCTGTCACCCCTCCCACCTGGCCTCCACTCATGTCCCAGGTCTAGCCCCTGCAGGCTCTCTGACATGCAGTTCTGATTGTGACCTCCCTTGCTCACACACCCTCCCTGGCTCCCCATTACCCTCAGGAGGGCATCCTTGTCCTCAAAAAATAAAGTAAAATTCTCACTAAAGGAAAAAAAAAAACAACGTGTAATTGTTGGATCCTATATTGGTTCTATTTTTAATATTTTGAGGAACTTCCGCACTGTTTTCCATAGTGGCTACATCAATTTACATTCCCACCAACAGGGCACAGGGTTCCCCTTTCTCCACATCCTCATCAACATTAGTTATCTCTTGTTTTTTCCACGTTAGCCATTCTAGCAGGTGTGAGGTTTCAATTTGCAGTTTTGCTGGTGATTAGTGATGTGGAGCACCGTTCATCTACCTGTCTGCATGTCTTCCCGGGACCTTCATTCATCTTCAGTTACTCTCAGGGGGAGGGTATAGCTTAGTGGTAGAGTGTGTGTGTGCTTAGCATGCTCAAGGTCCTGGGTTCAATCCCCAGTACTTCCAATAAAAAAAAAAAAGGAAAAAAAACGCCAACAGACTAACAGCTTCAGTTATTCTCTCTTCTTCCCTACCTAGTCCCTAAGGAGCCCCTGGTTTGGAAGAGACAGAGACCTCCGGCTTCTGAATTGTGGTGTCTCTTCCCTCCTCAGACTGGGAGTATCTTGAGGCCAGGGAGCTGCCTCAACTCTCAGCTTTGGCCCCATCTTCCCTTCAAATGTCATACCCCTCCCTGAGCCTCAGTTTCCCCATTAGGTGAATGGGTTCAGATCAGTCAGAGGCAGGTAACATGGGACCCCCAATGGAAAGGGGCATCTCTTGATGTTTTATTTCCAGCCCCATAAGCACATTCTGTAGTGGACTCTCTCAGCCCCTTTTACAGATAGGAAAACTGAGGCTCAAGATGTCCAGGGACCTCTCAGAGTCACACGGGGAGTGTGGGGCCAGCTGGGTCCTAAACTTGAATTTCCTGACCCCCAACACCACAGACAGATAATTTTTGTCTCTTAAAATATTTTTTTGGAAATTATAAAATAGTAATTTTTCCTCCTAAAATGATTTTTAAAAAACACCTTTTATTTTGGAATAATCTGAGATTTTCAGAAAAGTTACAAAGAAGTGTAGAGGCCTCCTGTGGAGCCTTCACCCAGCTTCCCTGAGTTCACTTCCCCGAGTTTGTCTGTCACTGGTCTATTGCTATGAACTAAACTCCAGATTTTATTTAGATATCACCTGTCCTTCCAAGAATGTCCTCTTTCTGTTCTCAGATCCCATCCAGGGTTGCATTTAGCAAAATAATTGCTGAAAATTTCAAAAGAGGTAATATTTTCAACACCCAAATGTAAAACACATATAAATATGCTTTCATTTTAGGGTGACTGTGGACATCAGGAGGACACTGGCTTCGGTGAGAGCAATAGTGACAATGACAGCTGCAACAACTTAGCATGAGTTGAGCACCACTGTGTGCTAGGTGCAGTGCTAAATTCTTTGTAGGCTTCTTGGCACCTCCCTGTAGTTCTATTGGATTATTCCCATTTCACAGGTGAGGAAACAAAAGCTTGGGGTTGAGAAGCCATTGGACAAAGGTCACATCCCAGGGGGTGGCCTTGCTGAGACTCGAACCTCAGGCAATAGAAGTGGGTCATCCTCGAAGCCAAGAGCACAGGACCTGGTCAGTTTCTACTGTGTCCCTAGGGCCCAGCACACACTTGGCTCTCAATACACCAATGATACTCAATAAGTTCACAGGTGGCATTCAATACGTGCATGTGCAAGTTGGTGCTCAATAAGTGCATGATGGCTATGTGATCGATGTCAAGCCCTGGGCACTCCCAGGTGTGGGACAACCCCTCAGTCTGATGTTTGATCTGCTTCTCCCCAGAGTCATGCCTCTGCCCCCTGGAGATGGACGCAGCGCAGGAATTTCAGCTGCGGAGGCGGCTGGGGCCAGGGATCCCAGGAGGTCCCTGGAGCAGCTGGAGCAGCCCCGTGTGCATCCCCCCTGGTGAGAGCACCCTGGGACATAGGCAAGGAGACAGGCATCAGAAAGACGGCAGTGATATTAGAAACAAGGCGGCAAGGGTTAGCAATAAGGTGATGGGTGTTAGAAATAAGGCTGCAGGAGAAATTAGGGAAAATCAGTGCAAGGTGGCAGGGCAGTGAGTGAGCTTCACTTTGGATGTGGCAAATAAGTCATCTAAAAAGAAAATGTTTCTCAGTCTTTCTCTCCTTCCAATTAGTGTGGTGGGTTTTGTTCTTTGAAAGTCGAGCAAGAGGTTGACAGGTGCAAGTGGCTGTGTCTTGAAGACCGATTTCCCCCAATACCACAGGAAGCTGGAGCCTAGGCAGCTCCAGAGTAGAGATGTGGCCCTGGGTCGGGGGGGGGGGAGCGACGTGGTAACTGTCAACATTCGCACCCTCACCCTGTGAGCTGGGACTTCCTCTTCCCCACCCAAGTGCGTATCTGCTGGGAAACAACTCTAACAGTTGTTTTCAGATTTTTTTTAAATTGTGAAAAAACACATAACATAAAATTTACCATCTTAACCATTTTTAGCAAATTGCCTTAAGTATATTTACACTGTTATGGAATGGATCTCCATGTTTGCAGATTTTGGAAACTATTTAGCAACCCAAGGAATCCTGTGTTTCATGGGAGGGAAGGACAAGGGGGTTAGGTCCCCACCCATGAGGCTGTGAGCAAGGGCACCATCCGCAGCGTCCCGGTCTTGCTATCTCATTGCAGAAACCCCTCCACGGGCTGAGGTGAGTTTCTCAGTGGAGCAGTTTCGCCCAGATGGGAGAAGGCAGGTGACCTTGCATGAGCAGGTAACGGGACCATTGCAGGGCTGTGGGGTGGCCTGAAGACAGCAAGAAGGAAATACAAGGCTGGAGTGGGAGAGCATAAAAGGAAGGAGATGAGTTGTGGAGATGATAGGGACCAGGAGGACTGTGGGTTGAAGTCTGAAGGTAATGGGGAGCTATGGAAGGTGTGTGAGCAGAGGAGGAATATGGCAGGACTCAGGTGTTCACCGGCTCTGTCTGGTGGCCACCAGTGGGGAGCAGACCATGTTAGGGCTCAGGTGGAAGCTGGAAGGAAGACTAGGAAGGGGTCAACTGTGTTGGTCTGGATGGGAGATGATTTCTTTGAAGTCCTTCAAACAGCTCATTATGTACAGTTGAATTAAGCCATTATGCAGAGGAGGAAATTGAGGCACAGAGGGAAAATCTCCTGCCTGAGTCAGGGGCAATATCACCAAATATTTCAACCCCTGGCTTCACCATAATTAATTCAGCCATGTCATCAGTGGGCTGTCACAATAAAGCTCTGGTGAAGCTCCTTCTCTTTTTAGGTTTCCTGTAATTTGAATTCCTTTTCTTAGGAAAACTGTCCAGGCTTGAGTTAACTGAGTACAAAGATGGAACCATTTCCCCCCACTAGCTTTCAGCAGCTTTTGCCAAATTATATACCCCCTCAAACCAATGAGCAGTGAACATGTCAGTTTCCCAGCTGCCTTGCCAGCAATGTGGTTTATTGTTTTCTAAATTTTCTGTACGTGTCATCAACTGTGGCCCGCGGATGCGTCTGTGTTCACGGTCTGCATCCTGATGTCAGCCCATGGGGACAACGAGTGTGTTCTGGTCCCCACAAGCCATCTCTCACCCTTACAGCTGCCCCAGCTTGATCTTCCAGAAGGCTGCCTCGGGTCTGACTCTGGTGTGGAGGTGACCTACCATGTCCACCTGCACATGCTGTCCTGCCCGTGTAAGGCCAAGGCTACGAGGATTCTGCGCCTGAGGAAAAAGCTCATCCTCTCGGGCGCTGCCTATGACCTGGCTGTCGTTGCCCGGAATCGCTTTGGCTTTGGTCCCAACCAGACATGGCACATTCCTGCCTACACCCACTCAGGTGCCTCTGGCTGGGGAGGGCAGCGGGAGGGCCCCACGGAGCTGAACATGTACTCTGAGCCTCAGCTAGACTGGGGTGAGGCAAGCGAGGCACAAAATTTTAAGGGGGTGTCTAATTTAGGAGGGTGTCAAAAGTCAGTCATCAAAATGCATAGTGTTATAATGCAATATTTAAGAACAAAATTCTCACTGGCAAACCGCAGCCCAGGCCCACCACCTGTTTTTTTAAACAAAGTTTTATGATGACCAAGGCCAGGATCAATGTATGAGAGTGAGGTAAGGTCATGCAAGTATAGGGTGGATCCTATCTTCATTTAAAATCTACATTTTGCTCATTGTATGTATGTCTAGACATATATTAAATATAGGCAAATATTTATATATAATGGAAAAAAATGGCATGCACGTGGAGAAAAGGGAACCCTCATACACTGTTGGCAGGAATATAAATTGGTGCAGCCACTATGAAAACAGTATGAAGATTCCTCCAAAAATTAAGAATTGAATGACCATATGATCCAACAATTCCATTTCTGGGTATTTATGCAAAGAAAATGAAAACATTATTGGAAAAGACATATGCACCCCTATGTTTATTGCAACATTGTTCACAATAGCCAAGAAATGGAAACAACTTGAGTGCCCGTAAGTGGATGGATGGATTAAACAAAAGAGGTTGTGAATGTTGACCATGGAATACTACTCAGCCATAAAAAAGAATGAAATTTTACCATTTGCAACCACGTGGATAGACCTTGAGGATATTATGCTAAGTAAAATAAGTCAGATGGAGAAAGACAAATACTGTAGAATTCACTCATATGTGGAATATAAAAACC